AATAGTGTACTGAGGGCACAATTCAGGCTGAAAGCAGAGAACACACAGCAAAGAAGTTTCTTTGTATATATAGGATTTTCAATCAGGGTTACTTTGTCTGAACACATCTCTTTCTAAGCTATCTCTAAATATTTCTAAAGTACACTTTAGACTGCAGAGGTTCAGACCTTCAGACAGCGTAAACAGGCATAGCTCTGTCAATTTCAATGGAGTTCCACCCATTTACACCAGCTCAGGATCTGACCTCTTATCTTTGGCTCAGGAAATCTGAAACTGCACTTTATGTAATAAAGATAATTAATATAAAGATATAAAGACAATTGGCCAAGTTAGCGGGAGATCTTAAAGAAGTCTAAATTAGTGTAACTAATACCATCTTCTGGCCTCCAGACTATATATTCATTACACATCTTACAACGTGCTCTTAGAGATTCCCTTACAGCTGCTTAGACTCAAATTCCCTTACACATGGGTAATTACTATTGTTTGTGAATTTGGTCCAATGAGTTAAATAGGTTCTTAGGAGAAGTAGAAAAGTGACTATGCATCTGTTTTACTCTCTTACTCCTATCCAAGTTCAGTTTTTGTAAATCTGCTGCTTTGAGATTTCTCAAATCACATTGTACCTCTTCCCACATTCTGGCATTTTTGCTTTTAATATTATAACTCAGTCACACACATACTATTTAATGAGGCCTTAAAACCAGCAGTGATTTAATTGTTAGTCTTCTCCCTTCCCCACAACATTACCTCCTTCACTTTTCATTTCGACTCCCAGGAGCTTTAATCCCACACAGGCATCAAGCAACCGTTCCATTCCGCTGGCGCTGGTGCCCAACCGTTCAGCAATGGCATCTGAAGACAGGGGCCCTTCTGACTCCAGCAATAGATCAAACACTCCCAATTCACAGGCAGTAAACATAATCTGAAAGGAAACAGTAATGGAGCAGCGGAGTAAGAGAAAGTGCAGATGCTCCCTGATGAGTTTTAATATAATTTCCAGGCATTATTTGTAATCTTACCTTTGAGACTAAAAACCCATTCTTGTATTGAAATAAGAGCTGAGGATAGTCAAGGTCTTCTGTGGAACTCATTTTCCTTCAGCGCACTGTGAGAGATCCTCTTGCCTTTCTTGTTCAAATAACCTTCGTTTCTACTAGATACAGATCACACTGGGCAGTTCACTTAATCTGATTGGTCAGGAGTGTCCCTAGCCTCTTCCCCAGGGGAGTTGGGATGGAGGTGTGTTGTTCTGTCCCATCTAGTGGCACAGAGAGCACTTAGAGGGAGAGAGAAAATTAGTCCACGCTACAGCCTTATCTATTAGGCAGTTGGCTTTTAACTCATGCAGTAGAGGCTCATGCACTAAACCAGGGGTTGGCAACGTTTGGCACACGGCTCACCAGGGTCAGCAGATGTTGACTGGGTACCCAGCTCTGAAGGTGGCGCCCAGCAGCAGTACAGAAGTACAGGTGGCAATACAATAATATGCCATTCTTACTTCTGCACTGTTGACTTCAGAGTTGGGTGGCTGGAGAGTGGCAGCTGCTGACTGAGGACCCAGCTCTACAGGCAGCAGTGCAGAAGTAAAGGTGGCAATACCATATCATGCTGCAACATCCCCACAATAACCTTGCGACCCTCCCCCCCACAAGCAGTGTTCCCTCTAATTTTTGACGTCCATTTGCAGAATGAATTTTGTTATGTGAACCAATATGGAGGTGATGGGTGACACAAAATGGAGGTGATGACTCTGGCTGGGGGTGTGATCTCTGGGGTGGGGCTGGGGATGAGGTGTTTGGGGTGCAGGAGGGGGCTCAGGGCTGGAGCAGAAGGTTGGGTGTGGGGGCGAGGGCTCCGGCTAGGGGTGAAGGCTCTGGGGTAGGGCCGGGGATGTGGGGTTTGGGGTACGGGAGGGGGCTCAGGCCTGGGGCAGAGGGTTGGGGTGCAGGGCGGGTGCAATTGGACCCACATCTGCTTTCCCTGAAGTCTCTCTCTTGACTAAACCCAGGCTGCCCTTATATCTCCCAGTAAGCCTGGTTCTTAGTCACATGGTCTCCAACAGATGACTTCTGTACTCATTGCCTTCAGCTGGTGAGGCAAATTACAGTGCCACAGATGAGGCTGAGTCCCAAACCCACTCCGCTTACCTCACCTCAAAAAGTCAACTCAGTCCAGGTTAAGGTGTCTGAGGGATGACTTGCTTCCAGAAAAATTATTCTCCTATCTCCCAATACCCAGGGATCAGTGTTAATATATAGGTCTGTTTGTTAGCCTGGAATAGAATTTTGGAGTTGACTTTTTGATACTTATACTAATCTGTGTAAACAAGGGACAAGGACACTGTGATGTTGCTTCTGTCTAGTCAGCTGGATTTGTTAGTACAACGGGAACAGAATAGAGCAGTTAAAGTGTTACTCAGAGCACACTTTAAGTTTGCCTCAACCACTATCTCAAGGCAAAATCAAGCAATTGGTTCGGAAGGGCAAAGGTGTGGGGGACGGGGAGGTATAAAACACTAAAAGACCAAAGAAATACAGACAAGAGCACAACCTCACTCCTTACCCCACCCATGGGGTACAAAAGG